CTCCTTTCACCTACAAATTTCGTCTTTGGATACAAACCTACGTGGATAGTCCTTGGCCGAGGGACTGTTTCAAAAGAGGCAGGGAGAAGAAGAGAAAAGGGAAAAAAAAAAAAAAAAAGAAAGATCACTTAAGGGAGATGTTTTGCTCTAAGAATCCCAAAGTTGATTCAATCTAATTCCTCACAGTTTTAGATGAACTCTAGAAATTTAAGTACTAATTGTGACTAACAATTAGCATTATGACCCAGAGCAAATCACTCCTTTCTGCTCTTTTTATTATCCCAATTCCTGTCCCACACCCAAGCCTCACTTGATTTTTCATCAGAATCCCAGGGAAGCCTGCAAGCCGACTTGCCACTCCAGTGGGTTCCAGGGTTAATCAGATAGACTGCCCATTGTTCTCCCATGGCACCACTGGGAAGATCAAGTCTGTTTCAGTCCCCAGCTTATCCACATAGCATGGTAACTCATGAATGTTAACTCAGCAGCATGCCCTCCCCCCTTCCCAGGAGCTAGCTCCTCTTACCTGTATTCCATGTTGCTGGCATTCTTAAGAGTGGCTGGCAGCTCTACCCCATTCTTTGTCCAGTAGCTGTAAGTAAGTGTGTGAGAGCTGGAGGTGAGGTTACACTGCAGGACAATGGGAAGGACGATGTTTTCTCGAATAATGACCTCTTCACTGGTGACAATCCTTGGCTCTGTAATAAGAGCAAACAATGATAGGAGGCCATAACCTTCCATCCTCTGCAGCCCTGGCCTGAGAGTTGGATAGGGTAGGAGGGGAACTAGAAGAAGAGGGAGGGCAGACAGGACCACACGAGGAATTTCACTTTATCACTTTGGAGGAAGAAAGAAAAAAAAAAGAAAGAAAAAAAAAAACAATGATTATAAGCAAATGACCACTAGCGCAGACAACAGCCTGAAGACCAGTTAGCCTAAACGTGGAAGAATGAGAGCATGTACTGGCAACAATCCACTTACGGTTCTGAATACCACACTTTAAAAAAACAAAACAAAAAAAACCAATATAAGAACCATGATTTAGCTTCAATTTTAAAAAGCCAGGCTCCATCTTGCTGTTCTGAAGACAAAGGCAGTATCATTTATGTAAGTCATAAACTCCCTATGGAGTTGCAGGCCATAGTACAGTAATAGGTATAATTATATAATACATGTATGGCTTTTCCCATGCTTAAATCCAATAAAACTTCTATGGCAAACCAGCCATGGCCATTATTTATACAGAAAGACAGTGTAAATCTTAAAAGCAGATTTCCCATTAGAATTCTACTGCATTCTCTGAATTTTGCCAAGGGGGAATTCTTAAGGAACTGTATCAATTCTACTCTCCAGCCCATGTCAATATATTCCCAAAACAAATTCTTTTTCATCATTGCACTTAAAAACACATTTCATTCCAATATTACATGATTATAACCAGAGTGCAATATGTGTAGATATTGTGGGCTCCCACAATTTTAGGGTTTACAGGCCCTAGGAATTAATGGAATCTCACTCTTTAAAAGCTAAAAAGGCAAAAAATGCCTTGCTCAGGGCCACAATTATTACTAGTGGCAAAGTTGAGCCTTGAAAACACATCTGATTGAGTTGTCTATTCTTGTGCCCATCCCAAAACACCCCTCCACCTCCATCCACCCTAATGCACAGTGCCTATCTGGTTTCCTCACCCTCACCTGGGCTCCATGATCTAAGATCATTAGTTCAGTATCTACAAAAATAACTAATTTGAGTAATGTTATCATACATAGCACAATGAGAAGAAATCTTTAAGTCATACTATATCATTCCTAGAAGATTCTTCTTTATAGCACTTTGAAATATATCAATAGCTTTAAAGTCAAGGTATTTCTAAGTTTGTTGTTTGACTTTAATCTTTTCTCAGGCTCAGGGTTTGCTTTGGTCAATTATTATCAGGTTAATCTATATTGGTATCTTTTCCCATCCAAATCAGAAGTGGGCCCCCTCCCTCTCAATTCTTTCTCAGAAACCTCTGAGCAGCCTCCCAGTTCCCTGCACGAGGCTACTTCCTATCTGCATGCAACTGCCCATGACTGTTTTATGGAGTATAGTGTTCTTAGTCTTGAGGACAGAACTTTCTTCCCCCTCCAATTGAACTCAAGTTTTCAAAAAGCTTGCTTTACTTGGGGGAGAAGAAGAGGAAGTCATGGGATAGCTGAAAATGTACAGCCCACAGACCTCCTAGTCAATGTAACATTTCTAAGAGGAGAACAAGTATCTTCAAAGAAACTTGTGATTAATAATGCAAATCCTCAAACTTGATCAATTAATCCATTCTGACCATTTTCCAACTCGGGCATAAAGACAGCAGTTATCTTCCATTCAGCACTGGTCCTTACTGGTAACATCAAACAGGGTTTCTATGTACAAATAATGGAGGCATAGCAGCCACTAAGACAGAAGCAGATGCATGTAAACATGTTAGCGCAGTGGTGTCCCATGGTTTCCAAAACACACTGGACAGAAGCCAAGTCCCTGGGCCTTAAGATGTCGAGCAGAACGGCTACAAACCCTGCAATGGAAGGCGCACACACACCATCAGCAGAAAGCATCACGATTCCAAGAAAAATCAAAACCAAGCAAAACAAAAAAGAGAAAGATAGAACCAGTACTCCACAGAAGAGAAATGAAAAAAGATAAAGGCAACATTAAAACCCAAACACATTTTTAGATTGTTACTGAATTTTTATTATCCAATTTTATTTCCTGTCCCACTTGGGACTCTCCTTCTGGTTCTTCCTCTCAGACTGCACTGAGAAAGGGCGAACTCGAAGAATGAGGCCAAGAGCTTCCAGATGTTTAGACACAAGGAGGCCAAAGTAAAGGCTACTCTTACCTGTGGCGATGCAAATGACCACAAATGGCGATGCAGCTTAGGGAGGTTAAGAAGCTGATGAAAGCAACTTGGTAGACTTTCTGCCAAGAATTCTTGGAAGGCAAAGGAAAGCATCTTTTCCTTTAAGTGTTAGCGATTCAGGAGCATGTCAGCTGGGAGCAAGTAGGATAATTTAAATAGGTTTAAATACGATTTTGCACTACAGGAAAGCTATGGGGTGGAGTTACCTGCCTCCTGTGACTGCTGTATAAGGAAACCAGTCCTGGACCAAGCTCCTGGGCCCCACTCTCACATCTGCATTCTGCACCAGGATAAAGGTGGGGCTTTTTTCCCTGTGGCCAAACAAGGCCCAAAGTCCAAGAGAGATGAACACTTTAGGAAAACACACTTCTTTTTAAAAAAAAATAAAAATAAAAATAAACCCCATCTACAATTGACTCCTGTGTAGCAGCATAGGGTAGAAGACCCATACCCAGGCCGTTTTGTGTATGTGTTTGTCCCATAGCCAGGTCGTGTGTGCGTGTGTGTGTGTGTGTGTGTGTGTGTTGGTTGCTATGGCCTGACACATGCTAGCACTGGGCACATCTATAGTCCTGCCTTACATTACTTAAGCTATACAGGAGTCAAAACTGCCAGGAGGCTACTCTTCAACAGAAGATTTCATTCTTCCAGGAAAAAAAAAATGTCCTCAGGTAGATGGTAAAATCAGAAAACAATCCAATTAGAGTTGAATTCAGTGAGTTTAATAAAAATTAATTTAAAAAAAAATACCACCAAGCAAAAACAGCAGCAACAGCAGCCTGGCTCCCCAAACATTTTAACTAGGGTTAAATGACTACTAGAAGTCTATAGATGTAACTTAACTAGCCAGGGTTTGGTTCAACAGTATGAGCATGCCAAAAATGGAAACTCAAACTGGGAAAAGCCTGCTTCCTGGGAACCTAGGGGAATGATAGGTATTCTCCAGGCTGATAAGTAGGCATTCCCAAGCTTGGAATTCCAAGCATGGCCTTTCTAGCTCTGTCTACTTGAGTCGGACTCCTTGAGGTACAAACAACCAAATACCCAGTCCAGTCCATGTCTACAAACTCCAGCAGATAGATGTTCGTGGCCATTTGGGTAATTCTGTTTTATTAGGAAAGGATCAAGGGGGCAGGAAAAGGAAGCGTGCAAGGGGGGGAAAATTGTTAAAGAAAAGAATGAAAAACTGCTGGGTTAATGTTCCCCATTTTCACAAAGACAAGATTTTCTTTTCTCCATTCCAGAAGCAGGCTCTCTGATTCCACAGTGTCAACTGCAGCAGCTTCTCCTCTCTCTCCTCTGACTTTTTTTTTTTTTTGCTTCTCCACCAGGGGATCTTCTAAGATATAAGAACCAAAACTAATCTCTTAATACAGACTCAAAGTCATATTACCTCCAGCCTTATACTTATTACAAAATTCCTCAGAAATATATCTAACTACTTATTTTTTCTTAAATCAATCAATTCTTTAAGCTGGAACTAGCTAGAAATCTCTCATGGAGTCCTTGAAGAGGTGAAAAGCTCAGAGGATCTTTCTATGAAATAGAGGATAGAGGATTGGCCCTCAATTATTACCAGGCCTGAACCTTCCCTGCATTGACAGCATTGGCTCTGTGCTGGCTTCTCCTTCCCACAAACAGTGAGTCATTTTCCAGGAACAGAAGTGGCAACAAAAGCTCCAGTGTCTGGTATCTCACTTGTCCCTGCCATAATCAATGAAGGGACGGATCTGGGCCAACTCTGCTTACCTCTTATCACTCTCAGAAACAGGTTTGGAATTCAGTTTCCTCTTTTGCAAGCTATAAACAAAAGGTCACCATGCATGGCTTCCAAACTACTTTGGAGCTGCAAGCCTTAGGGAGGAGGAACACTATGCTAACAGCCAGTCATCAGAGTTGAACTCTGTGGACAGGAATTAAATGCAACTCTCAGTTCAAAACAGCATGGTGGGCTTTTAATAAAAATACTTTCCAACTAGGTGTCACCTGGCTCCTCACTCACTGCAAGCAGCATGGAGGACATCACTGGCTGCTGCCTTCAAAGGAACAGGAGCCTGAATGGACAGGACCGGTGGGGAGGTGCTGCTTCAGTGAAGGGCGTGATCAGAGAAGCACATGCAACTGTTTCAGAAAAGAAAAAAGAGGTAGAACTAAGGGAATATCCAAGCTTACATGCCACCCGACAACCAAAACACACCACCACACTGCACCCAAGGCAACATTCCCATCACAGAACAAGAGAACACTGAGTCACAGTGAGGGAAAGGCTGGGCAGACACCACTTAGAACCATAAACCACAGAGGTGCAGGCAGCTACTCAGAGAGCTTCCAACAGATGACCAGAAGAAAAATAAAACAGAGTTAGATTGGGGAGGGAAACAAAAAAATTGAAAGGCACCAAGAGAAGATAATCAGTAAAAGGACAGCAGAAAACCTATTACAAAATTAAAAGGGAGGGAGAGAAATCATTTCAAGGCTACCCTCGTTTGACTGCTTGGTTATTTAAGATTCAATTAAAAAAAAAGCAAACAACATTCCCAGTTCTCCCTCCCCAACTCTCCCCAGCGCAGCTGATTTTAGACAGGCACAGATTTCCCCAAGTTCTTTGTTCCTGAGGAGAAAGACACAGAGATGGGTTGAGAGATAAAGGAGGTAGAGAAGATGGCAAAGAAGGGGGTTAAAAAATAAAAGAGGGAGAGAGAGTTGCCACAGATGTTTGTATACACTACAATCAGAAGGGTCGTGGGTTTGAAAAAACAAAGACAAGGGGTGGGGTGAGTGATCATACTGGGGATGAGGGAAGGAAGCAGAAGGGAAGGGGCGTCAGGCCACCTCTAATGACTACAGTACTACTACTGTAGGGTGCTGGACTCACTCTGAAGGACGCTTATGGTGGCCTGGGCTCGAATCCATGTTATGGAGGGGTTTTGCCTCAAGTCATTCCTCTTGGGGTCGTTGCTGGCCCTGCACTCGTAAGTCCCAGAGTCCTCCAAGGTGAGCCGGGTAATTCTCAGCACACTCACGCCGTTTGACCCGTAGGCGGTGTTTACGGTGACACGGCGCTTCCGAGCACCGTCCCACAGCTGTCTGAAAGACTCTGCCCGGTTGACTTCTGCGTACCACCACTGGATCTCTGGCGTGGGGCTCCCGACCACGTCACAGTACAGCTCAAAGGCGTCCCCCGTGAGCTTAGTTTCTGACATGGGCGACTTGACAAACCCAGCTAGAGGGAGAGGGGGAGCAGGAATGCAGTGGCAGGCCAGTCAGAAAAAAAAAAGAATCAACAGGTGTTAATAGTAATTTAAAGAAAAGAAAAGAAAAAAGCAAATGAGTTGCAAAGAACAAAAAAAAAAAAAGGATTCATTTTTAAACTATAAAGAGACAGTAATAGCAATTCATACAAGCTTTTAGAAGAACCACCCTGGAAAGCTCATGAAGCGAAGGCAGGCTAATTACAAGCTGGGGCAGCTCAGGTGCTGGCCAGGCAGAAGCAAGCCCACTGAAAAGCATATTAGCAATGGGCCCAGCTGGTAGGAATAAGAAGGCCTCAAGTCTTCGGGAAGAGCTGCTCTCCTCATAGCACAGTTACCTTTCCAAACTCAGGCAAATGATGAAAGATAACCAAAAGCAGCAGGTTTGTGTGCCAAGTCAGAATCTCTTTAGGGACAAGCAAACACTTGGTAGAGATCTAAGTGTCTTTGTGAATCTCAACAAGGATTGTTAACCAAACTAGTAGCACCTTCTCTTGGAATTCAATCCAAAGGATAGCTCATTTCTCTCATACACAGGAGTCTGTCTACTCCATTCTGACCAAATTTTCCTCACCCAGCTGTATGTGGCCAGACAGCTTCTACCTTAATGCAGACTACAAGGTAGTCTGTACCAGAGTGAGAATTATGGAAGCCATCTCAGGAGTGCAGCCTACAGTAACCCAACCCGATGCACTCTGTAATCAGTAAATCCATACAATTAGAAAAGCCTTCGGAAAAGCCAGCTTTAGAAACAACTACAGCACTTGAACGGCTTTCTCTACAGTGTTTCACTGCCTGGCTGCTACCAGTCACCACAAAACGGATCAGAAACTGGCGGATGAGCTAAATCGTAAGGTGAAGGTTAGGCCCTCAACCAGCACTGCCAGTCACTGCACAGGAACTGAAGTGGATACCTAGTTTCACTTGCCCACAATCTGCTTCTGGTTACAGTTCCATAAGACAAGGTGGCAGTGAAAAAAATCCAGGCCTACTGGAAACCCGTTTTATTGGGATACACAGAGAACTAAGAGTATAAGCGTGCTCTCTCATTGGTTCATCCCACTTTTGTTCAGCATGTCTACCTACAGTGCTAGGGACAGAGCTAAATGAGGGTATTGGTGATTGTCTAGGCAAGGTCCCCTAAAACGTCTGGCTCATAAAGCAAGTCTGATCCCCGCTGCAACGAGCAGAGAGTGGGGCCAGGACCTGACAACACCATAGTGAGAACATTCCAGAAGAGAGGCAGGAATTAAATGACAGAATTTTTCTATTATCCAAAGCCAAAGAATGAACAGGACTGGCTGAAAATGAAGGCAGTTAAATGAAAAGAAAAAAAAATCTGCTTATATTGGTAGTATTCACTTTCAGAAATAAACATAATGCTACCAACTCTGTGCCCACAGATCTAACTAAAAATAATAAAACCACAAGATGTGGTCGAGTCGACTGTGCCATGACAAGCCCATGAGTGTCAGTGCAGAAGTAGAGCCCCAAAGGGTTCTCCAGGGCTCATTTTTTCAGAAGTAGACTGCAAGACCTTTTGTCTGAGTGGGTCAAACCTCCAATCTTTTGTTTGGCAGCTGAGTGCATTAACTCGGTTTCACTCAGGGACTCCAAGAATGGTACAGAAGGTTTAATCAAGCAGAGGTCAAGAGCTCCAAAATCATACCAGCTTCCAAACAGGATACACTGTGATCTGGGGAAGGCAGGAATGTCATCATTAACAGACTCAGAATTACTGCTCTGCCTTGAAAATACCGTTCTAAACCATCTGATCAGATGCCCTGTTGGTTTCTTGTAAAGATCTACCTACCAGAGGCTGCTTGAAAAATCAAAAAGGTCTCATTCCCAGATAAAGGCAAAATTTTTAAATTAGAGAATGAAAACACCAAGTCCTTGCAAGAAGAGCTGCACAAAGTGCTCATCTCTCCAAAGAGCCATCTCCAGGAAGCCAAGGCTCAGTCTTGCAAACTTCCATCAGCCCATGTGCCAGCATCAATACCAAATAACAAGAAAAGAGAGGCAAAGGAGGCTGGTTCCATGTTTTACCACTGGTTCCCTAACCAGAGAACATCGACAATTGGTAAATCCCTAGAGAGCAACAGAGAGAATTATTCAATTTTAATTATGTTCTTAACTATTTACTGAAAATCACAAATGGTCTCTGTCTTGATGAACTTGAGGGGTTATATCCTCTAAATGCCGTAACATGTCCTTCCTTAATTATGCCCTGCAAATGTGTAGATTTGTATTTTTCTCCCTTCTGAACTGTGCTTCAAAGGAGGCTTACATGTAAGCCTGTTTATCTGTTGCCAGCACCAACATAAAGAGGTGCCAGCAAGTACGTTCTGAACCACCAAGAGCCCATCCAACACCAAATCCCAACACCATACAATTCACACTGAGCTGAGGAAGTGCCCAAACAGTATTCCCCACTGTGTGGGACTGACAAGGTCACTCAATCTGACACAACACTGCTGTGCCAGAAAGAGGAGGGAGGAAGGAATGCTGATCTGCTTTAATTTTCCATTTCTGTAGAGGAAAATGAGATTAAGTCTGAAATGTTCTTTGAGTGAGTAAATTATAAGTTATTTCATATATTTAAACACGCTTATTTAAAATCAAGATAACACCGCTTTAAACACCAGGACTGTCTATCTTTGTTTTTATTCAAAGACCACAAAAATAATGCAAGTGTGTATCACTTAACATCTATTCAGGTAATACATAACTACATCTATCATCTCAGAAGTTTTCTTATTATGAGAAATCAGCTCTCCTCCTGTTTATTATTTCTCCTTAATGGTTTTAAAGACCCCAGACCTAGACTGTTACAGCTCTGGATCACAGATGGATGCAGACTGGTCATGGTTTTGGGCCTAGGCTCTCAGACTGCAGCTGCTCCCACCCTATTCACATCTTCTCACTCTGATCCCACCATCCCTTTGGCCTCTGCCAATAGATCTAGCAGCAGCAATATGACCAGAAAATGGGCTCTCAAAAGTGTTCACACAATGGCCAAATGCTTACCTGTACTTATTATTAAACATCAATCAGCAGGTTATTGTACCACTGAGTTGAGTACAACTCACAGCGACCCTATGAACAAAAGATCTGAACCCTCTTCTATCCCATGCCATCCTCACACTTCTGACACACAATTGTCCACTGCAGCAGTCACCATGTCAATCCACCTGCTTGGGGGCCTTCCTCTCCTCCTCCGACCCTCCATCCTTCCCACCATCAGGTCCCTCTCCAAGGAATAGCCCCTCCTAGCAATATGCCCAAAGTATGTGAAGTGAAGCCTTATCATTCTTGCCTCCAAAGAGCACTCCAGCTACACCCTCTACAAGACGTATCTGTTTATTCTTTTGGCTGTCCATGGGATATGTTCAATGCCAACACCATAGCTCGAAGGCATCAATTCTTTTTCTGTTATCCTTATTCACTGTCCAGCTCTCAGATGCACAGCAAGTGATCAGAGAGCCTGAATCAGATGTACCTTACTCCTCAAACTAACATCCTTACTCCTCAATAATTTGGAGAAGTCCCTAACTATAGATTTCCCCAGTGTAGTGTGTCTCCTTATTTCCTGACTGCTGGTCCCAAGGGTGTTATTTGTGGATTCAAGCAAGATGAAGCTGTTGACAGTTTCAGCGTCCTCTCCATCCATCATGATGTTGGCTATCATTCCAGTGTTAAGAATCTTTGTTTTTATCTACTAGATATGTTACACAAAGTGTTAAAAACTTTAAGTTCATTATATCACTTAGTTGTCACCAAATGTCTTAAAAAATAACTGCCATTATAGTTTCCTTAAAGATGCAGAAACTAAGGGTCTAAAGTTAAGCACTTTATCCAGACACAGCTTATAAATGATTCTTGCTTAGAACCCAGATATGTCCAAAGCCAAAGTAAGGCCTCCTAGTACTTTCCCCACAGTAGTCAATGTGTCTTACTAGGCTGGAAAGTTTTTGTAGGAAACTTAATAGGTATGCTTTGTTACCACTTAATTTAATTAATCAATTAATAGTTCCCAGGCATAAAAAGCCAGGAACTCTCTATTGAAATGTTCAGCACACAATGATCACTAACTCCTGAAGCTATTATTAAAAGAATGGTGCAAGAAAAGACTGGGAGTAAAGGGTTCTAAAAGCAACTATGTGTGTGTTGGAAAAGAGGTAAAGGAGGGTGGTAGTGAGAAAACAAAAGAAAAGATGGTTCTGGAGGCAAGACTCCCCCTTGTTCTGATGACTCAAACACCCTGTTCTTGAGAAGGCTGGCTTCATTAGGACGAACGCGTTTCAAAGATATATCATGCATTTCTCTGATGTTCTGTTGTTACTGGAAATCTAGCCTTCTGCACAGCCTCTGGAAAAACCAATCGTGGAGAGAGGGCTTAGAACAGAATAAAGCAGATACCTCTGTACTGTAGAGAGGGTGTATCAGCTTCCCAAATCTGCCTCAGAAGGGAAGGTTTTGAGGGAATATTTGTAAAGTAGGCTAAGGGTGGTGGGAGGAGCTCATCATGTTTACTCAGCACGTCTAGGAATGAGAGATACGTGTTCTCATGGACACCATCTTGAAAGAAGGAAATTTCTAGCCCATATCCTAACTAACAGGACAAGGCAAGGGCATCTGGGAAACCTGCTCTGCATGTGTGCTGATTTGCATAAGCCATCTTTCTCTAAAATAACACCACCTTTCCCCTCTAAAAGTGCTAAGTAAACATGAGCTTTCCCTCCAACACTCTTAACCTGTGGGGTTTTTCTGTTGTTGTTATGCATCTTCAACTCACAGCGACCCTATGTACAACAGCCCTGAACTGCTGCTCTAGCCTGAACCAGTCTCACTGTCTCTGACACACCTACCCCCATTACCCCAGTTAATGTGTCAATCCATATCATCAGGGTCTTCCTCTCCTGCACTTCCAAGCATGATGTCCTTCTCCAGGGCCTGGTCTCTCCTGGCC